ATGGCTACTCAACATCTACTTAAAGAATTCCATTGTTGGGGCATTCACAACTTCTGGAGGCAAATTGTTCCACCGATTAATTGTTCTAACTGTCAGGAAATTTCTCCTCAGTTCTAAGTTGCTTCTCTCCTTGATTAGTTTCCATCCATTGCTTCTTGTTCTACACTCCCGTGTCCTGGAGAATAGCTTGAGTCCCTCTTCTCTGTGGCAACCCCTGAGGGATTGGAACATTGCTATCATGTCTCCCCTAGCCCTTCTTTTCATAAGACTAGACATACCCAGTTCCTGCAGCCGTTCTTCATATGTTTTAGCCTCCAGTCCCCTAGATTAGAACCTAAACTCCACACAGTCTCAAGCATCTAGCAGAGTGGTTTTCTCCAACCTGATACCCGACATGTATTATTGTAAAATAATCCCCAGCAATGTAATCTGGAGAAGGGACCTATGACTGAGAAGTATTGGGTGGGAATATCTGATCAAACTATTTTAGGTCAATATTCAGTGGATAACCGTGGCAATGCTGTCAGGAAAACTCATAACAAAAATGTGTGTGCTGTTTCTTCCTTCTTATTTGTACCCAGCTACCTGATTTTTAAAAGATATTTTGGTCCACTTTATTTGTAGGATGAAGTTTCAAGTAGCCTGCAATAACCAGTGCTTTATGAATTTGTCTATTACTTAAAAACATCCAGGGAGATGCCCCTGATCACATCTGGTGACAATGAATGCCAGAAGGAAATTGAATTGGGAGAAAAGATTTCTGTGTATTCTGTCATCAAAGCAATAGTTAATCATGGGAGCTAATTTTGGTGGAACATAATTGCTTGTGGTTTGTTCCGTGTATTAAGAATTTCTTACTTTAAATACAGTTTTGCCACCAGGACTCACAAATGAATTAGGCTGCAGCACATTTCTGCATCTTTCAGACAAATCAAGATAAGCAACTATACTGACATTTTAATTCGCTTCATAATACAGCCGCATTGGTTGGGGGTGTCTCATCTCTTCTTAGTTGCACACACCTTCCCCAACCTCTAGTAAACAACTGTTTATTTTAATCCCTCTTAACCTTTCTTCCAAGGTTCTTTGTAAGTCCATCTTCCTTTTTATAGTGTCTGGCATTCAGAAGATGCATACTCGGTAGAGGAAATGTGGGGTGCGGTATGATCCCATTCCAAAAGAAAGCAATAGGTGCCTTGCCTTTCTGTGTAATATCTAATTTTCCTTTCTTCTTTCTGCAGTATGTGGTTGTAAAACCTGACCAAAAAGAGGTGCTGAAAGGGATATTTATTCCTTACTGCAAGAACTGTGGACACGAGCAGCTTCTGCAGGCTGTGGGGTTGGTTGGAGCCATCATTATGCCCCATAACATCTATTTACATTCTTCCCTTGTCAAGGTCAGTGTCTAACACGTAGATACTTTGAGGCATAGATCAACAGTTCCTTGTGTATTGGATAAGAAGATGTTATCTATATCTTCAAAGATACTCATATCTGTATCTGATGGTTTATGACAGTGTGATGCACTTGTAAAGGGGGCAAAGAGAAAAAAAACATTATCAATATATACTCTGTTGTATATAATCTTTTACAAGATTATGTACAAGATTATCTTGTAAATAATCTAAAGCATTATTTCAATTTATGTTATATTTGTTGGGGGGGAGGGGGCTGCATTTTGCAACACCAGCAAAGCTAACCAGGCTAGCCACCTGCTGGCGAGATTTAGGCCATGTGTCTTGCATAGACCCTGTACCTTCTCTGTAAGTCAAATTCCTTGTTTTTAGCACCTCCTACCTAATCAGTGTGAGATGGGATATGCAGATTTTGCAATGTTTCAAGATTTAAGATAATACAACTAGTCCTGGTTTAGGAACTGCCTTGTTTAGCGACATAGTTCATAGTTATGACAATCATGAAAATGTAACTTTGCAACCAGTCCTTGTATTGATAGTCTTCACAGACCTGTAAAGCAAAGGAAAGCTGAAGTAAGGTCGAAAGCACATTTGTGGTTTCACTTAGCAACTGCCTCACTTAATGACCAAGTTGACATTTACAATTATGATTGCTAAATGAGGACTACTCGTAAAGGTTATGAATTAACAGAGAACCAAATATATACTTGATTTTTTCTTTAGGCTGCAGAGAAAAGGATAGGTTTTTTTTACTTCTTTCTGTAGGTAGGGAAACAACTTGGTTGAGGATAGATTTTAGGCTGATAAAGCTTGGTTCAAACATTGGGCTAAATCACATGACTTGTTTTGGGATTTGCAAAGTAATCCTAACCCTAACCCACTATTGTTTATAAACTATGTGTTGTACAGATCCAGCTAAATAATTTGCTGATGGAAGAATTTGATATTTATTTTAAAACGCCTAAACTATAGTCGTTGTAAAAATGAACATAAAATACTGCTGCTCTATGCAGGTAGTCCTCAACCTACAACCACAACTGAGCCCAAAATTTCTGTTCCTGAGATAGTTGTTAAGTGAATTTTGCCTCATTTTTACAACTTTCCTTGCCAGATTTGTTAAGTGAATCACTGCAGTTGTTAAATTAGCAATGTGGTTGTTAAGTGAATCTGGCTTTCCCATTGAATTTGTTTGTTAAAAGATCACAAAAGGTGATCACATGATCTGGGGACACTGCAACCGTCATAAATATGAACTAGTTGCCAAGTGTCTCATTTTCGATCACCTGACTATGGGCATGATGTAATGGTTATAAGTGCGAAAAATGGTCCTGTCACTTTTTTCAGTGACATTGTAACTTTGAACCAGTGGTGAGTTCCGGATCCTGTTCCAACCGGTATGGGTGGAATGGGCCCAGTGGCGTCCCCATGTACGTGCGCAGCATGCATGCACACACACGCAGTGCGCGCATGCCTCTTAGTGCCTCCGCAAGCCTCCTCAGCGTTCCAGCTGCTCAGCAGAGCGGAGTGCAGGCGCTGTACGCGCTGTGCACGAAAGTACCGAAAACTTAAAGGAAGGTCGGGCGGGCAGGTGGGCCCTCTGGAGCACCATACTGGAACAGTATCTGGTGCTCCGGGCAGGCTCCGGTACGCCTGTATTGGGGCGTACCATCTGCAATCCACCACTGCTTTGAACAGTTGCTAAGTGAACTGTTGTAAATCGAGGACTGTCTGTAATTTCAGTTAGCCAACCCTCTCACTTTACATAGGCTAGAGGTGATGTGCCATTCAAGATCTTTCAGTCTTCTTCTCTTGAGTTTTGTTTTGTGTTTTGTTGTTGTCTAAACATCTTTAAAGTACTACAGACAGTCCTTGACTTACAACAATTCATTGTGTGACTGTTTGAAGTTACAACGGCACTGAAAATCAAGACTTATGACCATTTTTCATACTTATGATCGTTGCAGCTTCCCCATGGTCATGTGATCAAAATTCAGATGCTTGGCAACTGACTCATATTTATGACGGTTGCAGTGTCCAGGGGTCATGCGACCTTCTGACTAACAAAGTCAATTGGGAATCCAGATTCACTTAACAACCATGTTACTAACTTAACAACTGCAGTGATTTACAAAACAACGGTGGCAAGAAAACAGGGCAAAACTCACTTCACAAATGCCTCACTTAGCAACAGAAATTTGGGGCTCAATTGTCGTTGTAAGTCAAGGACTACCTGTACTTCTAAAGCACAACTGGTTTAAAAGTACAATGTGTTAAAACTACAAAACCTAGTTCTTTCCTTCGTCTTTGCAGTTGTGCTGAGCTAGGGCCCTGCTCGGATGATGGTGTATTTGGACTACCATTTTGGGATTTCATTATGGATGTCTGGTTTATGTATTGTGGTTCTGAATTCTGTTAGGTTCTGTTGATTTTTTCTGTTAAGTCATGAAAAGTGACTTTGATTGAATTGGTTTTATTTATTTTAAATAAATAAATAAAAGTTGAAATTTGTATTAGCAGGGAATTCTTAACAGGTAGATAAAGCATTCAGTTGCATGTTTTATCTATGGAAATGAACAGAGTTGCTCAAAGTTTATCAGGGTTAATGTCTGGAGGAGGAGTAAT